GTCAACCTGTTGGGTTACGCTGCAACACATGTTCCCAGAACGGTGGGTGCCAGCTCCCCAAAGGTGGCGCACCGCACAGGAAGGAAGCCGGCTCGCCTTTCCAAGGCTTCACGCAATGCTGGAGCCATGCCAGCTGCTCCTCGAGGGCTATGTGATTAAAAACCACTTCGCTTTAATGGAACTAATTTAAGTGTGGCGATTGTAGCCGCTCCCTCCCCTCGTTTCCTGTGACAGGAGCAGCTTTCGGAGCTGAGCTGCTTTCCTTTGAGCTGCCTCTTTCACCAGGGCAGGGAGGCCCACTACCATAAGCCAAGCCCTGTCGGTGGCAGGTCCTTGGCTCCCAGAGTCTCTTCCTGGCGGCATCAGGACACTTTCTGAAGCCACTGAGTGCAAGCCCGCAGGCTGCTGCTCTGTCTTTTCTTTCCAAAGGGTGCTGAGTGGCTCTTCCCGCTCCCAGGAGCTGCGCTGGGATTGTGTGTCCAGGTGGGGTGGACATACGGGCAGAATGACCCCTAGACATGACCCCGAGGACCACAAGGGACACTGTCTGGGAAAGGAGAGGCTTAAGACACCTGTGCCCAGGTGAGGCTGGCAAGATGGAGGCCACAGGTCAACTCTGGGACTGTCAGGGTATCGGGAGACCTCTATCTACCCAGGCAGTGATACCCTGTAAACCTGTTGCTGTTTCAGGGAAGGGGGCAGGAGCATGGCCCAGGACACCGCAGGGGGCTGCCTGAGGATCTCATGCAGTTGGGGAAGGTTCCAGGCCAAGTCTGCAACCTGTTTCATCCTTGCAACCCCATACAAGGTCAGATCCTGATTGGCATCCACACCAGGGTGGGCCCAGTGATGAGGCTTCCTGACACATTCCCCTGAGGCCTGGGGGGGGGGTCAGGAGAAAGAGGAGCAGGGAGTGACCGCAAAGCCATTTACCGAGGACATGTGCTCAAGAACAGCCCACACAGGTACTGATGGTGACTCCAGACAGCCTTGGATGTCCACAGTTCCAAGCCTCCAGCTGGTGGTCACGGCTTTGGTTTGAGAGCTCAAACCAAAGTGTCAGGACCCAGCCACTCACCTCTGATGTTGGCACCGTTTGAGTCCTTGTGTGTCTTTAGACAGCATTTAGCGCCTCTGGGCTCTGTTATTTTGGTCATTCAGTGGACAGACATAAACTCCTGGCTACCCTAAGAGCAAATTCAGAGACTCCTTTCACTGTGAGATTTCTGAATGCTCTTTTTAAATTAAAAACCTTATTATTTTGTGTGCATAAGCGTTTTGCCTGCACGTATGCCTGTGCAGCCATGTGTATGCCGGGTACCTGGGGGGTCCAGAGAGGAAGCTGGGTCCTACAGGCAGCATCGTGGGTGCTGGGAATTGAACCTGGGTCCTCTAGAAGAACGTTAGTGATCCTATGCTGAATCACCTCCTTAGCCTCGGTCTGCTCTTTTAAAATAGGGCTTCTGATAGAGCAAGTGGGAAAATACCCACCTCATAGATGCAGTGAGTCCAGTTTTAAAGGCTGTATGGGAAGTAGGCCCGTGCTCTGCGCTAAAGTTTAGGCCCTTTGGCCCTCTCGCTCCCTCAAAGCTCTCACCCCTCCCGTCCGCTCTCTGACCAATGATCTTTGCTATTTACTCTCCCTTATGAATTCCATAACATGTATTTTTTGTGTTTTTGCTTTCTCTATTTCACATCATCATTCTTTCATCCTGGTTTTATTTTCTATACTCTGCCCCTCCTTACCTCAAAATGAGATATAAAATTTTTAAAGTATCCTATGTATTCAATAGAGTTGCTTTTCATCGGACGCCTAGTGATCTACTGACATTCTTGCTTCTGATGGCTGTTTCTGAGGTGGCTGTGGGTGGTGTGGCTGGGGAGGTGGAGGGAGGGCTCACATGGCTCTGTGTCGGCAGCATTTAGATATGCAGTGGCTTGAGGAGCCTCACCGTTGCTCTCAGCCAGCATGGCGAGGATCTGGTAACCAGATGGCTCCTTCTTGGCAGTTTGTCAAGTGAAGTGTTCACCCATTTCAGAGCACTGTGTCCTGGCTGTTGTGATTCCGTTTATGTCCCCTTTCTCCGGTGGCCACAGATGTGATGTCCCATTCGTCTTATGGAGTGGTGGCTGTTTATTCTCCCCTCCGTTTACTGATCTGAACCTCCTTATGTAACGATGCTCCTATTTCCTTATTGATTTTTATGCAGAGTAAGTATCAGCTGTGTATTTCATCATTCATGGATTTCATTTTAATATCATGTTTATTTGTTAACTCACGATTCTATTTCATGAAATCTAGAAGAGTCACAGTTTGTCTGCTATACATCATAAAGTTGAATTTCTTTCTAAGAAATCAGTGAACTGCTACATTTGGGCATGATTATAAACTCTTTTCTTAAAACCTTAAATTTTCTTGTACATTGGCCATATCTCTGAGTTTCCCCATAAGGACAAAGCAATTTAGAACAGCTGTCCCCTTTTCTCTTCTCAAGAGTGCAGAATACAATTTTGATAGTGTTTTTCTGAAGCAGAGGATCCAAAGTCATCAGAAAAATGAGAAAGAAATTTGAAATTTGGCACTAGCCCCATGAGAGCCAAGAGAGGATCCCACATCCAACCAACAGGAGAATTAAAACACTTTATAATAAACAGTGACCAGGACAGTACTTTACGACGAGGATTAAAACAGTATTAATGGCAGCAGAGAGTAAGTTTCTAACAGAGGCTTTGTGGAGAAGTTTTAGCCTACAGCCTGTGTTTAAGCCTCTCTGGCTTAATTTACTCACACAGTGGAGGCTGAATTCACATTTGTGGACAGTAGTGCCAGGGTTTAGGCTGTTACTATTTTTAGTACTCAGAGGTACTGTTGATCAGGGCATTAGAGGCTCATGTCTGTAACCCAAGCACTCAAGAGGCTGAGGTAAAATGACCGTAAGTTACAGGCCAGTCTGGGCTATAGAATGAGAAAGAGAAGCAGAATAACAAAACGGAAAAAGGAAAAACAGGAGAAAGGAGGTGGAAGACTAGGAGGTTGAGGAGGATGAGGAGGAGGAGAAAAAAGAGAAGAGGAAGAAGAAGAAGGAGACGAAGAAGAAGAAGAAGAAGAAGAAGAAGAAGAAGAAGAAGAAGAAGA